TTCTTGATCAGCTCATCACCCCAGAGCCTCTAGCATCTGTCTGTAATTATTCCTAGGGCAGGTGGATTTTGGAACCAAGTCACCATGTTTGGCTAGGAGAGACTGGAAGCGTGAAGCCCAGCTCTGTGTCCTTGAGGTGGTGCCCTGAGCAAGGCAGCCATTGTTGGGCACTACTGACCCAGGCACAGACCTGTACTGTGGCACACAGTGACTAAGCAGTCAGCAGTGTTCTTGGCTCCCTCTCTGGCGTCAGGCTCCCATCTCTTCCCCAGTGGTGACTGCATCTGGCCTGTATCCCTTTCAGGTGACTGCCACTGCTGGGGTTGTACCGAAGAATGGATGCTTAGGTATAATGAATAGGTGCTGTGGGGATTTTGTTTGTTTTGTTTTCTGAGACAGGGTTTCTCTGTGTAGTTTTGGAGTCTGTCTTAGATCTCACTCTGCAGACCAGGCTGGCCTCGAACTTATGAAGATCCACCTGGCTCTGCCTTCCGAAGTGCTGGGATTAAAGGCGTGCGCCACCGCCCAGCAATGGGGATGTAATTCTTATTTCTTTCCTAAAAGCACGAAACCATTACATCAATCCAGAAATACTATTCTGGGATCAAATCTAACAAAAATAAACTTGGGGAACTAAGGAGCAGACTGATGCTCTTCCTCTAAGTTCTTTCGTTTCACTTATTAAATTGTTGTCAAAACTAGCAAGCAACTTCAATAAGCATATGATGTTGATTGGGGATCACAAAGTATTAAGACTTCAGAGGTGAGGGTCAATTATAAAAGAGTGAGGCAGAATAACCTGTCCCCCTTCTCAGCATGAGGGCCAACTTGTTGGGGGTCGAAGGCAGGCTTGCCTGCAGAGTTACCAGTGGCTGGTACACATTCCAACATGCTAGACTTAACAGATGAAGCCAGACATGACTGATGCCATTTTCATTATCTAATTTTCATGACTTGTTCTAGAAGGGGATGGCAAGCGTGGCATTATGCTGTTTGCACAAACTGTCTTGATTTCTCCAAAATAACTTACATGAAATTCTCAGTAATTCCTCAGTTCCCTATGGGATTTTGTAGAATTTAAGTGAAGATAAAATAGTAAAACTGCAGACATAAAAGAAGATAAATTGTTAAGAGAAAGGACAACATGGTCAGGACCAATGGCGAACTATGCTTACTCAGGGAGCTACAATACGGATTTAAAGTCATCCATGGAATGCAGCTTACTCATTGTCCACAATGTAGAACTAAAAGCTAAATTCCTACACTCTAACAACTAGCTGTGACTACTTGGAGCCTGACCCCTATGACTCAATGTTTTATTCAGGCATATGGACCCTAACTACTAATAATCCCATGGAATTATATACAATTTGTGCTGTAAAATTTATTACTATGCAACAAAATAGTGAGATGCCTACTTATCTATTGAAATAGAATACCCCACAAATGGTCCACAAGGTTAACACCTAACTTTCCTTAACTGATGCAGAATTCCCTCTCCCTCTTAGTAGTTGATGTTTTGGGAACTCCCACTTCCTTTCCTGCAGTGATTTATTTTGTTGTTTTTCAAGAAGGGTATCTTTGTGTAGTTTTGGCTGTCCTGAAACTTGTTCTGTAGAGCAGGCTGGCCTTGAACTCAGAGATCCACCTGCCTCTGCCTCCCAGTGCTGGAATCAAAGGCATGCGCCACCATTGCCTGGCTTCTTGAAGTGTTTTAATGTCTCAATTATGTCCCTTGTAAATTCTTTTTACCTACCATGTCTCCAATCTTGTTTCACATGACATAGGACACCTGCTGAATGTACATTAATCCCCTTTACTCTTTCCTCTTCTGGAAGCAATTGATAACCAACAAAGTGTGGCGATATACTGTGTACCCTAATTAAATCTGCCTGAAGATCAGAGAACAGAACAAGCCACTAGATTGAACATAGAGACCAGGTAGTGGTGGCACACACCTTTAATTCTAACATTCGGGAGACAGAGATCCATCTGGATCTCTGCTGAGTTCAAAGCCACCCTGCATTGCATGAGATTGATTCAGTCTAGGAGACAAACAGAGCCAGGCAGTAGTAGCACACACCTTTAATCCCAGTACTTGGGAGTCACACACCTTAAATCCCAGCACTAGGAAAGCTGAGACAGGAAATAATATGGTTGGGTGGAGAAAGGCATTTAAGGAGGATTCGTGGAGTTGGGGAGGTGAGACATGGCAATGGCCTGGTCCTTTGTCTCTCTGATCTTTCAGCATTTACCCCAATTTCTGGCTCCGGGTTTTTATTATAAGACCGATTAGAAATGTGAGCAACAACAAAGCTTTTTGAGAAGCAGTAAGATAGTTAAAATTACATTTGAGGAAATTAACAGGTCAGAGGAAACAGAGAACAATAACCAAAGTGTCTTGTTAGGCCTTAATGTATTTTCCTTGAGGAAAGAGAAAAAAGCAAGCTTGGTGATGAAGCCCGGGGCATGCACTTACCACTGAACTTACACTCTCAACCTGTTATTTAGCTGGGTTGTCTTGTACAGTTGTACAAGCTTACAACAAAGGATGGTGTAATTATTTGATGAAAATGTCTGCCATGATTCTAGTGGTAAGTTTTTAAGGGTGAAGTAAAATACCATGAGACAAGAAAGGAAAATCCGTGACAGTCAAGCCTTTCGACTTGGGTTTTGAAGTGCAAATATCCCTTTATTTGGAGATGAAACATTTCATTCTTTCTCAAAGAAATGGGTCAACCGAGCGAGCCCGGGGCTTTAGCAGAGAACCCAACTCCTCCACACAGCCTGGCGTGTCCAGTGCAGGTGGAAACTTGCTGCTCAGTGTGGAGCCGAGGGCAGCAAGTGCACAACACAGCCTTGGGCCCCATCTGACCCTCCTGGAGATGCATCTATAGCCTTTGCCTACAAACACTACATCCACCATTAAGCCATACCTCTAGTTTGGGGATCTAAATCTTACCAAGATCTCTCGGTGACTGAGGTGCACAGCCAAGATGTGAGAACTACTGTAGGGCTGGCAAGATGGCTTAAAGGCAAGGGTGCTTTCCACCAGGCCTGATGGCTAATCTTCATCCTTACGACCAACATGGTAGACAGACAGAACTCACTCTACCCAGGTGTCCTATGACCTCCCCATGTGTTCTCTGGTTTGCACATGCCCATCCCCATTCAGACATAAACACACAAATAAAAGAAAGGAGGGCAGCCCTGTTCTAGACAACAGCCCAGGCTGCTTTCCTGGAGGCCTGGCACTACAGTGCAGTTTGAGGGAGGCGTGGGCACTGATCTCAGACCCACCGCTGTGCAGCAGCTACTTCTCAGGGTTGCCGTGAGGACCAAATGTGAGGACCAATCCACCTCCCAGACTTTCTTCTACACTCCTCTCTATTTTTGCACATTGCCCTCTAGCCATGCTAGGCAGAGTTTGCCTTCTCTGCTTTAGGACCTTGCACAACTTTCTTCTCCACCTAGAATTCCTTGCCATGTGATCTCTGCATGTCCAGCTTGTTACTCAAACCTCAGTGCAAGTATTATCCTTACAGTGAGACCATCCTAGACTGTGCTGATCAGTATTTATTTATTTATGTCCACGTGACATAAACTAGAGTCATCTGGGAAGCGGAAACCTCATTTGAGAAGATCCTCTATCTTGTAGGCCAAGTCTGTAGGGGCATTTTCTTGACTAATGTGCAAGGGCTGTCCACTCCTGGGCAAGGTACTCCTGGGTTCTATAAAAAAAGCAAGCTGAGCAAGCCATGGAGAGCCAGTCAGTAAGCAGCATTCCTCCATGGCCTTTGTTTCAGGTCCCACCTCCAGGTTCTTGCCTTGACCTTCATTAATGGATTAAGCTATTAAACCCTTTCTTCTCCAAGTAGCTTTTTGTATTGTTTTACTATGGCAATAGAAAGCAAACTTAGGAGAGGATTTGGTACCATGGAGTGGGCTATTGCTGGGACAGACCTGACTGTATTGTTGGGGAGGATTATGGGAAAAGTATGGAACTATGGTTTTGAAAAACTGTTGTACACTCAAAGTTTAATGGGCTGTTACATGGGAACTTGAAAGATAAGAAAGCGGAGAGCAGTGCAGATCTCGACAACCTAAACTGTGAAGTTACAGAGGAAAGTTTGAGAATCTCTCAAAGAATTTGTTAGGGCTGTTCATATGATATTTGTTTTAAACATCTGTGGTTTTTGATCCACTGAGGCTGAAGAATCAGCTGTGATTAACGAGGCTAGTGCCACTGACATAAAATCTGGGAAGTATTTCCTAAGGATCAGCACACAGTAGTGCTTTATCTCAAGCTGGTAGCCAAACTTGGTACACCTAAGAGTCTTCCATGTGTCCTGGCTTTGGCAACATGGAAGCTGCAGGACTGATGAGGTCATGGAGAACAGCTGAGGCTTGGCACTGTGAGAAGCCAGGAGAGGCCATTGGTGAAGATACAGCCTCAGTTGCAGGAGACCCAAGATACTGGATGCCAGGCTTGTGGGAGACCATCAAGGAGAGCAGCAGGTGTGGACTGGAGTTGGCTGGACAAGCACATGTGTTGTGGATGGCAGAGCTGGAGATGTAGAACTGCCGAAGCTCTTTGGAGTCCAGATCATGAGGGAGTAACCTCAGACACTACACAGATTTACACCGTTGGATTTTGGTTTTGCTTTGATTGTGCCTGTGCCTGGTCCATCCCTCTTGGAATAAAAAGCATGCAACTTAGTTTTGATTTTACAGGAACCAGTTTTTTAGAATTTAGAGACTTTGGTATTTTAAGGAGACTGAACTTGTAAAGTGTTTGAATTTTAAAAGTTAGATGTTAAGCCGGGCGGTGGTGGCGCACGCCTTTAATCCCAGCACTCGGGAGGCAGAGCCAGGCGGATCTCTGTGAGTTCGAGGCCAGCCTGGGCTACCAAGTGAGTTCCAGGAAAGGCGCAAAGCTACACAGAGAAACCCTGTCTCGAAAAAAAAAAAAAAAAAAAAAAAAAAAAAAAAAAAACTTGACACAAGTCAGAATCCTCTATGAAGAGGAAATGTCAGTTGAGAAAATGACCCATAGGCAAGTTTGTCAGGGCATTTTCTTGATTAATGATGGATTTAGGAGGGCCTAACCAACTGAGCAGGTGGTCCTGGGCTGTTTAAGAAGACTGGGCAAGGCATAAAGAACACGGCAGTAAACTGTTCTTCCATGCCCTCTGCTTCAGTTCCTGTCTCCAGGTCTCCAGGTTCCTATCTGAGATCCTGCCCCGACTTCCATCAGTGATGAACTTGGTTGTGGAAGTACAGTGAAACCAATCCTTTCCTCCCCAGGCTGCTTTTGGTTTTACTGTAGCAATATAATTCGAACTAGGACAACCTCCAATCTGGCCACTCTGGTGAGTCACCCTAATTCTCTGCAAGGGACACACTTTCTGAGCAGGGACAAAGAATATTTAATTCAGGACTGTAACCCTGGATTACATCAGCTAGGCACATCGGCTGTGCCTAGCACACTGTCTGCTCAATACACATTTGTGTAATGCAGAGGACAAAGCTACTCTGGAGAATGCAGTTTACCAGATGAATGTCAAATGCTTTTGTTTACAGAGAACCTTCCTTGCTTTGATCTACTGGGTTCTGTTGGCAATGACAGAAATTTCACTCTGATCACGTTATGCAAGTGAAAATCTGAACTATCACAGAGACTGGCTGGGCATGGCAGTGTATGCCTTTAATCCCAGCAACAGGGAGGCAGAGGCAGGTCTACATGGTGAGTTCCAGGGCAGCCAGAACTACCCTGTCTCAAAATGAGTAACAAAAAAAATAAAACATGGGCTGCTTTTCATCAGTCTCAAGGTGCCAACTCATGAGCTGTTTGTCTTCCCTTCAGGTGTTAAGCTGTTCACATTAGGTCATTTTATCCATATCCCTGAATACTGCTGAGGTCCTAACTTAGGAGACAGTTAATGATGATGCTCTGTTCAGAAGCTCGATCAGGGACAGCCAAATGGCCTGAAGACTTGCCAGGCAAAGCTGCCTAAGACACAGGGAGAATCCACTTCATTAGACATTAAGCTAAGAACTGTCCAAAGACTTCTCTACCATAGCCTGACATTTAACAGTGGTTTAGTTAGTTGACTTTCTTCAGTCATGCATGACAGAAACTTGTGTTAAGTTCAATATTTGAGGTTCCAAAACATCAGGTCACACATTTAATGATGTATAGAAGCAGATCATAACTGTTCAATCTGCTTATGATCTTCTACCAGGAAAGCTAAAGGAATCCTCTTGTTATCATCAAGTTATGCTCAATCCATCTCCCCATCACGGCAGGGAGGAGAAGTCTCTTCATGACCTTTCCCGAGCTCAATAAATAGAAAAAGAAAAGGCACACACCTGACAGTCCATTTATTTGCTGAGTATCCTCACAGAGCAAGGGCTCCATCTGCTGGTGCTGGCCAGCACAGCAGGCCGTTAGAAGGGTGTGGTGATGAAGGGAATCCACCTTGACTTCTTTTCCATGTCCAAGTAGTCCGCATGAAGGAAACGGATTTCTAATATTGTCCATGACTCCGCGTCCGCAGGCTTGTTTTTCTGTTTTATATTAGCTGAACTGCTCCAGAGGCAACAAGAGGTGCAATGGTTTTGTACCGGATCAAGTGCTGGGAGCCCTCCTCCAGGTCAATGACATAGTCTCTGAAAGAGGAGGAAGTGTTACCTATGGCGCTTAGCCACTTCTCCATGGGGAAGCCACACTCGGCACTCACCTCTGCTCATCGGCTTCCGGTTCCACCAGTATGTTTTCCTGTCGTTCTTTCACCCTCAGAAACACGTAGGAATCCAGGTCTGGTTTGGGAACTGCCAGGGAAAGACACATGGAATCATAAAACAGCGAACATGTTCAACATGACAAAAGTCACTAGGGTTAATGCTATTGAGACTTGTGGTGTAGAGGGAGATGTGAGGGGCAATCAGCGATGTACAGGGGATTCTCCTATGCAGCAGTCTTCTATTTGGAAAGGGGTCCATTCCAAGAACCCCAATGAATAGTACGGAATCTTATATATACTTCTCTTTATGTACATACTTATGATAAAGTTTAATCACATAAGCACTAATCCTATAAGAACAATTACACTGTAATAAAGTGGCTTCTGTTATTGCCCTGATCCCGCCCTATGTTTGCAGTGAGAGGACATTGCCTACATGATAAAGGAGATAAATCACTTACACATTACGGGGTAGTTTGGCCACCACTTTAACACAAGTACTGAGGTATAGTATCAGTTATCTGGTAAGAGAGATCTCATAATACTGGTCAGAACAGTGCAAGATTAAAAAGCACTTTTTAGATATTTATGAGCATGAGTATTTGCCTGCATGCAATGCCACCGAGACCAGAAGAGGGTGTTGGATCCTTGGAACTAGAGTTATAGACAGTTCTGAGGTACCATGTGGGGGCCAGGAACTGAAAACCCAGGTCTTCTCTAAGGGTAGCAAGTGCTTTAAGCCACTGAGCCATCTCTTTAGTCCCAACAGTTTAGGATTTAAAACTTACAAATTATTTCTAGAACTGTCCAGTGTGTACTTGTGGAACATGGTACAACGACTACAGATAACAAATCCTGGAAAGTGAAGCCACAGATGAGTGGAAAGCACTGCACACTTTGGAAGACACAAACAAGTGTTAACACGTCTTTCCAGAGGAGGTGGTAACTGAGCCATCAGGGAAGCCTCACATTGTGACATACACTTTCCACAGTGTGGAACAAAGGAGCAGATGTGCTTGTTTTCTTTAAAAGCCCAGGATTTAAAGAGGGGAAGGAGGCTGGGAATGGCACAGTAAGGCGGAGATAAAAATGTACATGAAGATCTGGGAGCTTATATCCAGGGAAGCTTGGGTTACATGGCGACAGTGTTGACTATAGACAAAGCAGTCTCTTAATGATCAAGGCTAAGAACCTGCTGCCACCTTCTACCACCAGCAGCCAACACGAATGAGTGCCACAGCTGGGCTATGCTTCTAAGGCAACTCTGTTCCTGGAGTTCTTAGGGCAGGGTCAGTGAAATGATTGATTGAGAATTCTACCAAGTGGTATGGGTCTGCTTTGTTCTAGGTCTCACAGGCTGGCTAAAATGTATCCCTTCGGAATCCACATAGGCAAGCTGTAACTTCTATATCTGGAATGGAACTATGGAGGAAGGCTTTTAAGAAGGTATTTAAGTTTACATGACACCATTGGGGTAGGCCCTAAGTCAATCGGACCAGCGTTCTGCTAAGAGGAGATTAAAACACAGAAGGGAATAGTAACTTTAAAGATGCCCAAGCCAGGCGGTAGTGACACACGCCTTTAATCCCAGCACTAGGGAGGCAGAAGCAGGTGAATCTCTGTGGGTTCAAGGCCAGCCTGGTCTACAAAGTGAGTTCCAGGACAGGCTCCAAAAGCTACACAGTGTGGTGGTATTCTAATTGTACTGAAATGTGATTTTGATTGTATGTTAATAAATAAAGTTGCCCGGGGGTCAGAGCTATTAGAGCCATAGATAGAGTGTGGCAGTGGTGGCACACGCCTTTAATCCCATAGATCTCTGTGTGTTCAGGGATACAGCCAGCATTGGAGACATATGCCTTTAAGACCTAGGGGGCTGTACATTCAGACAGTGATGAGGCAGTCACGTGTTTGGGTTTACAACCAATGAGAAGGCAGAACAATAATACTATAAAAAAGACGTACAGACACGATATAGCTCTCCTTCGGGAAGCTGGGACACCGCGCAGGAGGAAGGGTGAGATTTTAGCTCTGAGCTCTGACCTCTCGGCTTTCTCTTTTACATTGTTTCTGTGTTTCTTATTTAATAAGACTGTTGGATACATCAACAACACAGAGAAACCCTGTCTTGGAACCCCCCCCCCCCCAAAAAAAAAGATGATGTAAAGATGCCCGAATGCTTGCTTCTTCCCTTTGGCTATGCAGGACACACAGTAGGAACCCCGAAGGGGACAAGTTCTTACTAGATGCCAAGTCTGGTGCCTTGATCTTGGATGTCCAGCCACCCAAACTGGGAGCTGTTCAAATGTGCTAGGACTGTGACACACCACAGGCGTCCTGGTGCAGCACACGCCAGGGCAAAAGATGAGGGCACCCCTTTACGTGTGGCCTGGGGACACTGAGCTCAGTGAACAAGGTAAGATCTGGTCCCCGAGAGAAAGGTTTGATTTGGTCTGGCCGTTCTGTCTCATTAGACTCAGCTACAGCAGGCCGTGCAGCCGAGGGATATGGATTTCATTGACAACCACAAAAGCTCAGCTGGCCATCTTCACAACAGAGCTGAAAGGCCCTTTCTAGAGGCAGAAAACTCTTTCGACCCTCCTTTGTAGCCACCACATTCTAAAACCTAGGAAACCTGTGATGCCTGCTTCCCTAGAGCTCAGAGAGGCCCAGGATCCTCCAAGATGCTCGGAGGATATGTGGCTGAACAAAGGAAGAAGTCTGTATCTGGAGTAGCAGCCATGAGTCCAATCCCATTTGCAGGACACAAGAGTGAATAACGCTGACACGGTGATCTTGACATGTAGTTTTGAATACTTCTGTCTTTAACCAGAACCCTCCTCTTCCTCCTAGTGTCTCAGTTGCTTCTCTGCTACCTATTTTTCTACACTGACTGAAGAGCTGACTCTCAGGTATGTGGAGATGTCTGGGATGTACATGATGGTCCGGATCTTGATCTGGAAAAGGCGGCTCTGCTTACCTGCCCTCAAGAGGTCCACTTTCTGCAGGTTGGGAGGCATGTGCTTTAAGGCAACGTTTTTAAGATGGGTCTCTGTGTGATCCATATACCTAGAACAAAGAAATTCAGACAGCTGTGGCGTGCACCGACTGGAGCCACCAGGGCTCCCGGGCTGACCACTGTGGACGAAGCTCATGCTGGAATCCAAACGCAGAAGCAATTCCACGGTTCCTGTTGACTTACTCTTTGACGAAGACAAACTCCTCTGGAGAGAGGATGGAAGGCTCCTCGCTCGGGCGCGCTTTCTCCTTTTCTAGGATGTGAGGGAAAAACTTCTCTATCTGTGATGATATATAATAGAGATGAAAACTCATCACTCAGGGTCGCATGCTTGCTGCCCTGATCTCAGTGCCTCACGTACACCAGGCTAGTGCTCTGCCACTGAGCTACACCAAGGCCCAGTTTTATTCTGTGTACGTGCCTGTGCACGTTCATATGTGTACGGGGGCACACGTATGCGTGTGCATACATGTACAGGCAAGAAGACAACCTTGGGTTTCATTTTGCAGGTGTCATCGACTTGGATTTTTGAGACACTGTCTCACTGTCCTGGAGCTTGCTGAATGAGGTTGTTGCTAATTCTAAAGCTGACGAGAAAGGGCTACAGAAATTGCTCAGTGGTTAACAGTATTTATTGCTCTTGCAAAGGACCTGGGTTCAATTCCTAGCATCCACATGACAGCTCACAACCACCTGTAACTTCAGTTCCAAGGAATCCAATGGTACCCTCCGGCCTCCATGGGCACCAGACGAGAACACACACAGAGGCAAAGTTAGCAGCAGCAGCAGCAGCAGCAGCAGCAGCAACAACAACAATCAAACTGACAAGGAGCTGGGGATTTGGCCTGGTGGCAGAGCACCTGTCTAGCATGTGCAAGGTCCAGTTCCTCAAGCACTGAGGGGTTAAAAAATAAGTCACACAAACAGCAAACTTCCAAGAATTCAGAGAAAGATAGATTCTAAGAGCCCAAAAAGGAAGACAGTTCAAAGGGGAAAGCGTTCGGTAAAGAAATTCTGAAAACAAACTGTATCAGATGGTAAGGAAAAGAAAGGGTGTCATTAATATTTAATGTACAGTTCTTCCTAGGAGCTGAAACTCATACAAAAGCTGAAAAAATATATACAAAATACACAAACAAAAATGACATTTAACGGTAAGAGTATTACCAGTAATAAGATATATAGCTTGGAAAACAGCAGTAAGACCTAAAAAAGCTCAACATCAGTAACAACCAGACCAACCAACCAACCAAACCAAAAAACTAAATGCTACAAAAAAAAAAAAAAAAAAAAGGTGTGTCCCCAGAGGCTCGGGAGGAATGGCCTGCCGTATGGAGTGAGCGCTGTCAATCCTGTTAAAGGAAGCGGTCTGTCTGTCTAAGGAACGGACAGTGACCAGCAGGGAGAGGGCAAAGAGAGGCAGCTTTAAAGTGTTTTCCTTGTACACTATTTTGTAAAGTCACCTAACAGTCAGGCATGGTGGTAAATGCCTGTAATCCTAGAACTCAGGAAGAACTCATCTGAGGCAGCCCTGGGCTACACGGAGACCCTGTCTTAGTAAAGATAAGATCTGACATCTCTGTGATGCCTTTCTAAACTAATCCTACCAATGAACTGAGAAGATTATACACAGATGAATAAGGAGCACTGCTCAGGGATGGAAACAACTCGGTGGTGGGTTGCCTGGCATATGTGAGGTCCTAAGTTCAATTCTAGCCCTGGTTCAGGGTCCCTACCCACTCAGCAGGTAAAGGCGCTTACCATCAAGCCTGAGGACCTGAATTTGATCCCCTGAACCAACACAGAGGAAAGCAGAGAACGTATTCCCACAAGATGTCCTCTGCTCTGACCTCAACATGCAGGCCAGTAAGTGTTAAAACAAAAACAAAAACAAACAAAAAACAACAACAACAACAAAAAAAACCAAGCAAACAAAACAGCTGTTGAGCTGGGCATGGCCACTAATGTGTGTAATTTCAGCACTTCAGAGGCTAGGCAGAAAGATCGAGTTCAGGTCGGCCTGGATTATAGTGAACACTTGTCTCAAACAGAAACAAGGGCTGGAGATGCAGTTGGCAGAATACCCGTCTAGAATACAGAAAGCACTGGGCTTGATCCCGGGCACTACATAAACTGGCATGGGAGTGTTTGCTTATAACCCTAACAATAGGGAAGTAGAGATAGGAAGATCATGAGTTCAAGGTTATCCTTGGCTACAGAGTGAGTATGAAATCATCCTAACCTTTATAAAACCTGCCACAACAACAAAAATCCATGAATAAACACATGTAATAAAAACACAAAAGCAGATGAGCATGTTAACTCACACCTTTAATCCCAACACTAACGACGAAGCAGGCAAATCTTTTGAGTTTGAGGCCAGCCCTGCCTATGTAGTAAGTTAGTCATGGGTACATGGTAAGACCTGATCCCAAAAGATACTCCCTCCCAAATTAACAAACCCCACAAAAACAGTAACAAAAAACAAATTGTTCAGTGGGTAGATGTCTAGTTGAGAGAAGATTCTGGTAAAGTACTCTTACTATTGGCTTAGTATTAATGATTCAGATAAAAATTTTTATTGCATATGTATCAAAACTGCTGATGACAAAATATTAAGAGATAGCTAATATTTTGAGTGACAAGATCAGGATTCTGAGACCAGGATAATGGCCCAACTTAATAAGATCACATTTAATGAGCTGGAGAGATGGCTCAGTGGTTAAGAGTACTTGCTGCATTTGGAGGACCTAGGTTTGGTTCCCAGCACCCACATGGGAACTTGCAGTTCCAGGGGATCTGATACTCTCTTCTGGCCTCTGAAGGCACTGCATATTCACATGGTGCACATACATGCAAGCAAAACACTTATACACACAAAAATATTTAAATCCAAAAGGCAACATTTAAGAGGCTTAAGTATCAAAGCCCTAAATTCAGCGTTCAAGCTCCAAGCCACACGAGGACATCGTGGTACCTGGATCGGGTAATCACACTTCAAACACGTCAGGATGGATTGAGTGCAGAAAGAGTTTGCTGAGATGAATCTAGCTGTCAGCTATGCTCATGTGGTCCTGAATGGTGCTCCTATATGCTTCACATCCTGAATAATGGATGTGACTGTCCTATCCATTGTGGTTTGGCCACTTCTATGGAATAGGACAATCATATAGCCAGAGGTACACACTGAGACCCTGCCTCAAACAAACCAACAAACCAACAACGTTAGATTTTCCTGGGCTTGTCCAACCTATAGTTTCAGCTACACTTCCCTGAATGTACTCTCCTTATTCTCTGGCTACAGTGACGCTGCGCTCTTAGAATCTGCAGGCCCTGAACCTCTCCCCCTGCTATTCGATATTCCAAATTTGACTGCATTAATGCCCATCAAACCTTCATGAGTCGACACCTCAAGTAGCTGCTAAGGACATAGCGGATCCTCTCCATCTCCATTCGATGGATACTGACTTTCAGATCCCCCCTTTTGGCTCTTCGGAGATTTTCTTCCTATTATAAGAGAAATTTAAATCATGATGTTCAAACACTAAACACAAGGACAAAGTCAAGGACCCAAAGATTATGCAGTTATAAGATAACAAAGAACTCTATTAGGTATATCATTCAAAAGTACCCATTTTAAAGACGATTTTTTGAATATAATCTGAAAATGGTGAGCCACAAGGGTCCAGGACTCCAATCCAATTGTGAAGGAGATAATACAGCAACAGCAGAACCATCTACGGGCCCATGAACCAGTGTTAGAAACTAGTTCAGGGGTTGGGGAGATGGCTCAGTGGGTAGGTACCTGCTACTGCAGGCCTGGGATCCTGGGTTTGGTTCCCAGACCCTCACTAAGGCCAGATGTGGTAGTGCGTGTCTGCAATCCCAGCAGCACTCATGAAGCCCGAAGGCAGGCAGAGACAGGAAAAGTCCTGGGAGCTCCCAGGCCAGCTAGGAGCAGACACAGCAGCAAACAACTAACAGACCCGTCTCAAGGTGGAAGGGAAAGACTGACATCCAGGTTGTTATGACCTTCACACGCAGGCACACATGTGCCTGAGCATACACACAGAGCTGAAAGAACCCAGCAACCACACCACTATGACAATCTATAAAACCGACATTGTAAATTTGCTCTGAAGGTGATAATAACCTAAGCTCACAGCATTCCAAGCCCCAAACCACAAACTTAAATGTCTACAAGGGCTGGGGCAGGTTAAGGATGTGAAGGAAGGGTTGTCAGCAATCAGAGGGAACAGGACAGCACCGTGAATGGGATTACAGTTAGCTGCTCTGGCCAAGTCCTCTCATGGAGAATGTAGAGTCAGTGACAGACCTTAGACTGTGGGAAGCCGACATGCTGGTATTTACAGGAAGGACTCTTGGGCTGGAGAGAGGGCCTGGTGGTGGGCAGCACTTGCTGCTCTTGCAGGGGACCCGGGCTTGACACCTAGCACCCACACAGCAGCTAATAACCATCTGTAACCTCAGTTCCAGGGAATCGGATACTGTCTTCTGGGCTTCGTAGGTGCCAGGCATGCACGCAGCACAAACATGCATGCAGACAAAACAGTCATACACAAAAAATAAAAATAAACTAAAAGACTTTATGGAAACTCTTGTAGTTTATAAACAGATGCGATGACCCATCTTGGCTGTCACCTTGACCACACCTGGCATCAACTAACACTCAAGCAGCTGGGCACACCTGTGAGGGATTTCCTTGAATATATCCTTTGAGATGGGAAGACTGACCATACACTCTGTGGGCAGCCTACATAAAAGGACACAGGAAGAGGAAGCTCTCGTTTTTTGCCTGTTTGTCCTCTCTCGACGGCAAGTTCATCCATCCTGCTGCTGAGGCATTACTTCCCGAGTAATAGAACGTAGTTCTTACGGATTCCAACATATACTGAAGATCAGCTCGGACACATACCCTATTGACTGAGTTACTATCAGATTCTTGGCCTTTCTGCTGGGAGTCAGACCACAGCCTGTAAGCCACTGAGCCACTGTAATAAATCCACTGTGGGGGGCCCGCCCCCACATTCCCCGCCAGGGTACTCTTGAGGAGTGAGGGATAAGAGAGTTAGATAGAAATACAGAGGGGAGGGAGACAGAAACATAGGATAGCCTGGGGAGGGCCTGGATCCGAATCCACCGGCCCCTTCTGTCTCTTCTAAAGGGCTTTTTAAAGGAATGCCAAGGGGTGGAGCAAAAGACCTCCCCTAGCACAGCCAAGTACAGGCCTTTCCAAACACCGGTAACCACACACGTGGTCAATCCATCGCCTTATGCAGCCCTGCTGGGTCAAGCAAGCTCAGATCTCACTAAGAAACCTCTGTGGGCCCCCACAATCCACCATATATATACATTCATCCTTTCCATTCTCCTTTTAGAGAACCTTGATTAATACAGCTAGAACTTCTTTTAAAGTACCCTGGGCTGAGTCAAACAAAAAGATTTGCTATCAGAGCACATTTCCCTATGCTGACCGAATGCTTTTAGCTTTCTCTTCCCCTGCAGCCCAGAGACAAGTTAACTCTTACCATGTGCTCTAGCTGCTCCATGACACACTCGACAATCTCAGACTTGCTTTCCAGCAGCTCAGGGGCAAACTTTTCATTCATCCACGCCTGAAACCCAACACGGGAACAGTGAGTGAACACAACGGAGCAAAACACACTGGAGACAGCACTCATGCTTCATGGTGGCCTTTCACCTCTTCTTTCAGGGGAGGAGCTTTTATTCAACTGGAAAAATTTTCAATCACTGTTTCCCTCATTCATCATTATGGTAACTAAGTAATGCCACCAGGTGTTCTAGCCTTACCTGTCATCTAAGACCATCAACTGGGAACACATTTCTACTTCCTCACCAACAGGGAGCATCATCACGTTTCTTCCTTCCTTCCTCCTTTTCGGAGACAGGGCCTCACTGTGGTCCTGGCTGCACTGGAACCAGACTGGTCTCAATCCCATTGGCCTGCCTCTGCCTTCTGAGTACTAGCCTTAAAGGCACATGCCCCCACACCTGGCTTAGACTTAATCTTTCTAAATAATTTCCCTTGCTGTTGCTACTTTATCTATTAAGTGTATGTGTGTGAGAGAGAGAGCACACATGTGGAGGTCAGAGGACAACAAACACATAGGTCTTGCTGGTCAAACTCGGGTTGTCACGCTAAAAGGCATCTTTACCCACAGAGCCATCTTGCTTGCCCAGGATACTTATCTTTAAATTACAGGAAACTCAGGTTTATACGACAATCAGGCGCGACCCTTCTGATTTGCTTTCCCAAGTATCATCATCATGACACAGTTGAGCATTGTTTGCTACAACTGTAAGTTTTATTTCAAACTTCTCCAATAGTGATACAGCTATATAAAGAAATTCTTTGCCAGGAGCATACCTTTAATCCTGGCATTAGGGAGGCAGAGGTTGGCAGATCTCTGTGAGTTCGAGGCCAGACTGGTTTACAGAGTGAGTTCCAGGACAGCTAGGGCTGTTACACAGAGAAATTCTGTCTCAAAAAACAAAACAAAACAAAACAAACAAACAAACAAAAAAAAAAGGAAAAAAGAAATTCTTCGTAATTCTGGGGATGAACCCAAAGCTTGGTGCATAGTAGGGCAATTCTCTACCACCCCAGGGCTTAGTGCATAGTAGGGCAACTGTCCACCACTGATATATATATATACACACTCTCAGTCTCCAGTCATAATATTAAATATGATCATCACGGTTATGAACTGAATTTTGTTCTTCCAAATCTGTTTGATGACTGGGTTCTGACTCAACAGAGTAGTTGCCTAGCATGTGCAAGCTCATTGGTTGTAATCCTACCTTAGCGCCTCCAGATGTGACTGATGGAAACAGGGTTTTAAAGAGGCGAGGGTGTAAAAATGAGCTCATTAGGATGGGACCTAACTCAATGGGACCGGTGTCCTTTTCAGAAAACAAAACTGTATCACAGACACAGCCAAAAAGGCGGACCAAGTGAAGACACAGGAGACAGCCACCTACAGGCCAAGGAGAGAAGGCCCAGAAGAAACCAACCATGCAAGTACATTGATCTCAGCCTCTTAAATACAAAAATAAAGCCATTGGGTAAACCACTCCATCTGTGCTCGATTATGTAGTCCCAGCAAACCAACACAATCACCGAAATGAGAAACACTGCACTGTAGGAAATCTTTTAAACCTTTTATTTAAAATACATCTTTCCTCTTTTCTCCCTCCACACATATATGCAAATATATTACAACCTGCTTAGTTCATTTAGTGTTGCTTGTATATGTATATGTTTTTAAGTCTGACCATTTGGTATTGGATAAGCATTTAGGGATCTCATCCCCAAGGAAGACTAATTCTCCCTCTCTCAGTTGTTAATTGTCTGCTGTTAACTTAGGGGTGGGGCCTTGTGAGATTTCCCGGTTCACGGTGGGATGTCAGTTGGTGTTCATTCATTGTTCAGGCCTTGTTTAAGCAGCCATATTACTGAGCTCTCATGGGTACGGCTTCCCTGTCATGTTTAGAAGACAATCATGCAGCAGATTTCCTGGTCCCCTGGATCTTAAAATCTTTCTGCTTCCTTTTCTTTGAAGTTCCCTGAGCCTCAGGGGTAGGGGATGTATTGTAGATATGTCCACTGGACACGCTGTAGATACATCTACCCATTCGGTGTCCTTATTTTCTGAGCCCTGGTATTGCACACTTGGAGTAAGGTAAGGACTAAGAACGGGGCACAGGGGTTCTGCTTGGGGTGCTTACCTGCTCCAGTCTTTCAATGAGTTCTGCGGGCGTCAGGACCACCTCCTCACTACCCCCATCAGAGTCCTGTCCATGGAGATCCAGCACCTCTGTCATCCTTTCTGAACCAGGCACCTAACGAGAATAAACCAACACCCTGCCACTTGCAAAAGGTTTTTAGGGCAATGTTTACTGGGGCTGGAGGGGGAACCACTGGCCAGGGGTGGAGAACTCACAGACTGATTTTCAGTGTTGCATTTAGTCCTTCAAGGATTAGATCAGTCGTCATTTTCTCTGCTAGTTTCAATCCTTTCCATTGCATGGGCCTGGAACTAAGCACCTACCGTACTAAACGGCAAGTTCCTTCTTTTCGTCCCCAGTAGCCGTTTTGTTAAGTTTGTTTGCCTTTAGGGGCCCAGGTACCCATTTCCGTTCAGATGCGAAACTTGCGTTATGTGCCTGGCTGGGGTCCACGGCTCTAACTGACCCATGTCGCCCGGGCGCCCCAACGCTCACCTCACAGGAGACACTTACAGCCGCTACACGGCGCGGGAACTCGTCTCCCCACCCCTTCCAGCCCGCACGCTGGAGGGGAAGCGCGGGCGGAGGCGGCGGAACCCCGCGATCCCACCGAGCCAGACCCTGGAGATGCAAATCCCGCGCTTCTTTCCGAACACCCAGCATCCACCGGAAATGACGCCAGCGCGCTGGGAAGCACTAACCAATCACGCCCCGGGGAAAGTGGCCAGGCGCCCCCTTTTGGCCCCCGCCCACCGGGGGGGCGGGCACTCACCGCGCCACGGAGCGTACTTCCGGCAGGCGGTGGCGAAGGCGGGGAGCGCTGGCTCGGGTAACGCCAAGCCCGGCCTGGCCACGTGGGGGCGCTCACCACCCAGCGAGGGCAGCAGGCAGTGCCGCCTGGCGGCCGACCCGTGCAAGCACCTGCTTCCAGCGGTTGAAATCGTTGCTGCTCCTTGGCTCTCCAGACCGCTCAATTACACCATCATCTGGGGGCTGTGAGGAACGCAGATTCTCAGGCCCAACCTAGGCCACTGCATCAAATGCCCGCTGACTGTTGTTACACAGGCGGTTTGCTTCCATTCAGCATAGAGAAGGGGAGCAAGAATACGTGCACACATATACACGCACGCGCGCACGCACACACGTATAATACGGTGTGTGTTATTTCCGCTGCCTGGTTGCCAGTATTTCTTTGAATTGTAGATGCTTTTGTCTCTGATATGTTTTGTTCTGTGCAAAATGTCACTTTTGACTGTTCTAGATTTGTTTGTCTCTAGATGGGAGGACTGGGATATCTCCTATGCCATGTTGACCAACTGGGGGGGAAAAAGGAAAGGCAAGCCATTAGATTGCTATTGCCTGTATTGTGATAAAAAATCACAGGTCTGGGGATATAGTTTATTTAGTTGGTATAGTGATCACTTTGTAAGCAGGAGGACCTGAGTTCAATACGTGGCGGCACACATTTGTAACCCCAGCACTCTACAGGCACTAATAGGAAGATTCCCGGGGTTTGTGGGCCAGCCACCAGCCCAATCAGTGAGCCCCAGGACCCTAGAAAACCCTGGCTAATACACCCAATGAATTCCCTGGGTCCCCAGAATGAACTTTGGCAGAATCGTGCCTCTGTCGTTAGGACCTTAGGAGGAGGGGTAGATGCCACTGCACCCTCTGGGAAGGAATTTTAGTAACAGTGTGTGTTATTGTATGTATGTGTTTGTGTGGGCATGTGCCACATATGTATGTGGATGTGTAGAGGCCAGGGGTCAACAGCACTGGTTGTCTCCATCCGTTGCTCTCCACCATGTTTTTTTGTGATAGTTTTCTTGTTGAACCTGGAATTCCTTCGATGAACTGGCCTCAACGGCCAATGATCTTCAGGGTTCCCCTTTCTTCCCGGTTCTTGGGTTACACAGTGCTATGCGGTGTTGGGGATCTAAATCAGATCCTCATGTACAGCCTTCATCTCCAACCTGTCCACCGTTCAGAGGTCTCACCTGCCACTCTGAGAAACAGGCTGTTCTTTCCCTCCTTAAACATTTAATAAGGATCGGTTCTATTGCCAAGCCGGTTGCTATCAGTTCATAGATTCATAAATATATATATATATATATATGTTGGAACTACATATAAGACACCCCATTGTCCTTTCCTTACATTCTTTTGTACAGAAATGTTCTCTAATGGTATTTGTTCTTTTTTGATAATGAAAGAATGCGTATTCTCAAAAAAAAAAAAAAAAAGATGCCTATTCTCCATCTAGGAGTCTACCTTTTTTAGTGTGTGTGAATGTAATATATGTGTGTGGTGCATGCTCACAGGTATGGGAGGAATGGGGAACATCTGCCTATCCTATAAATAGAAACTAGAGGATGCTTTATCATTCTCTGCCTTATTCCCATGAGATAGGGTCTCTCACTGAACCTGGAGCCATGCTGGCGTCCAGGAAGCCCCAGGGAGTCTTTGGTTTCTGCTCCCCACATGACTGAAGTTATAGGTGTGTGTGTGTAGCCATATTGAGCTTTTCTGATGTGGGTGCTAGGGAATTGAACTCAAGTCGTGATTCTATAGCAAGTGTTCTTGCCCATCGAGCCCCTTAAGTTTATTTTTAAGGATTTATTTACTCATTTGTTTTCATGTGTGTTCTGTGTGTGTGTGTGTGTTTGCACGTGAATGTATGCCTACGGAAGCCAGAAGAGTGCACTGGATCCTCATGGAGCCGGAGTTACACGTGGTTGTGAGCTGCTCAACATGGGTACTGACACCCGAACTCCAGTTCTGGAAAAGCCGCAAGTGCTCTTCATCAGCGAGCTAGCTAAACCTCCTGGAGTTTCAGAGAATCATATTGCAATTTTTATAGTTATATACACCTATAAATTATGCATCTTGACATATTTAATACTTGAAATAGAAATAACAGGACTAATACAAAGTTGTGGAAATTTAAATTTTTGGTAGTTTACAGACTTTTGGCATTATGCCTCTATTTTTTTTTTTTTTGTTAAAGTAATTGGTATAGACTGAGGGTTTGCAGCGTGGTAGTATAGTAGACTCTTAGCCTGTCTCCTGGGTTCAGTCTCCAGCAACAAAATAAAACAAAAATCCCTCTCTACAGTTTATCACTGATGTAAAAAAATATTTTTATTTGATACAGGATCTTATTATGTAACTCTGGCTGACCTAGAACTTGGTATGTAGATCAAGTTGGCCTCAAACTCATAAAGACCCACCCACCTCTGCCTCCTAAGGTGTAAAAATGTCAACATTCATCCCCTATTTTTTAGAAAGGTAAATAATAGAATATGTTCAGGGCCATATATCATATTGGTTTTTTTTTTTTTTTTTTTTTTTTTTTTTTTTTTTTTTTTTTTTTTTTTTTTTGGTTTTTTTGAGACACGGTTTCTCTGTGTAGCTTTGCACCTTTCCTGG